CATCAGCCCTTCTCTCCACATGATTGTCCAGAATGAATTTCATAATATTTGCTGATTGTGAATGGAAGAAAACTTGCCTTCTGGCATAAACATTTCCTCATAATTCTTCAGATCTGTGTTTTCCCCTGTGTCTGTGGAAATTCTAAACTGAGAAATTTTTACATAAGCCTCACAGATGTTTCAGCCATATACTTTACTAAAATATGCCTCCATCTATACTGTTTTAGATGCCTTGATTTCAATGTTCTGAGTTGAAAAAAAGATTTTACAAGACACACACTATAAAGAAATTGAATCCATAGATATTAGTTGATCCCAATTTTTTTTGCTATGCAACACAGTAATTGAATAAACTGGAGTGAAGCAAATTTTACAGTTACATCATTTGATCATGTAAATAATCCAAATATCACTAGGTTGGTTGACTTTTCTTAAAATAAATAACATCTGTAATTTTTTCTGTTTCTTTTTTTTCCTGATACAAGCACATGGAATTATATTATTCAGTGTTTACTGCAAATATATCCTGCCCAATTTGACATTTTATTATTTTAACCCTGTTGTTTCACAGAGGTGACTGTCTCAGTTTTACTTTTAAAAGGTATGTTTAAGTTTTTTTCGTTTTCTTTGATAGTTCTAGGGCAGAAGGACAGATAGCTGTAGAAGTCTGATAATGCTTTACTCTACTTCAGCTAATCTCCAGGATGCCTTAAACAAAGGCCTAACTCTTTTATTCTCACATGAAAGAATCTACACCATGTCCAAATTTTCCAGGTGACATATTGCAGAAAAATATTGAGGTAGTTCTGCCAAGGTTATCTATAGAATCACTGTCAGCTGTTATTAAATTCTGGAGTTCCTGATATCTAGTCCTGAACTTAGAGCAAATAGAACAAAGTTTTTTCAAAACAACTTATAACAATTTTCAAAATATGATGCAGCAATCTAATTCATATGGGATCTCATCAAAGTGCTTTGATATCCATACCAGTCCCTCAAGTGCATAATACTGCTCTTCAGGTTTTGGTTTCAGGCAGATAAATGGCATTCATTTCACACATTAAAAATCTGAAATTCTTGAAATTAGGCCAGGTCTCTCCTCTGTGTCTCTTGAGACCCGCGTTATCAAATTTATACCCTAACTAAAAAAACAAGGCAGGAGGAACAGATTTCAAAAGTTCCTATATGTTCTTAATAATCTGCATGTCAGAAAAAACAAAAGTACATCATTATTGAAATGGATTCTAGAGAAAAAGCATTTCAAGTTATTCAAATAAGTGGTCACCTTTAGTTGTTTTTTAAATTTGCTTTTATAAATATAGGAGCAAGAGGGTCTTATTCATACCTTTTTGTAAAAATGGAGTGGGTGCTTCTCTAGATAGCTTTATTAATTTCTCTCTGTTAATAGTACTAGTTTCAGAAGGCCTCAAATTTTGGAGTTGGTAGTTGGAGTTAAAAACTGCATTTTTCAGCAATGTAGACGATCTCTGGGTTGGAACATTTATGTCCAGCATTATTTTGCCACTAAATATTTATCTTTATTTGGCCTAAGAAAATGTAGGTGCTATTGAATACTAAGAGAAGAATTAAAAATATGGTGGCTAAAGATCTGACAGCAATATTCAAGGTGACAAAATGGCTGAATTCTGAATAATTCATCACTAAAATCATCAAAAGGTTTGAAATGTGTGAAAAAGCAGATTAGTCTGAAAAATCAGTGGATCTTGTTAGGATAGAGAGGAATGCTTGATTGATAAATGAGACATATTGCCTACATAATAAAATAATAAATAAAAGACAAGGCTTATGTAAAGGAAATGTCAAAATACTATGAGGAAAGCTTATCAGGCAGGTTAGTTCAGCAAAGATCTGTAAACATGTTTGCAGTTAATTTTATAGCAGGGCCAACATTTTGTTGGCATTTGAGACAATAACAAAAGCACAGGTGACTAGTCCTGAGAAGTTGATCTTGGGATTTCTTAGTGGGCTGGTCAATGTAAACACCAGATGGAGCATAGAAAGTACAGAGGTAATACCTGGGCTCTTCACCCAGAGGCACTCTCCTCCTGTCGTGGCCACAGTGAGGATCCCACATTCTGATGGAGCTTGCCAGTGACAGACAGGGTGCCCATGACATGTCCTCTCCTTATATTCCTTTTAAAATCTTTTTTTCCACAGCATGTTTCCTCAGGTCTGTTGCATGGGAAGAGTCTGACTGGATGTGAAGGGGCTTAGATGACCAGGGACATATTAAAATATGGCATGGCTTTATCAC